GTGTTGTGGAGTAAAAAGGTTATAATGTTCTCTTTTGTTGGACAACAGGTTTAGAAATGTGAATACAAGGGAGGTTTAGCTTTAGGCATTTTAATTTAAGCATGTTTAGCTTAGTTAACAGAAGGCTACCTGCTGCTGCCATCAGAGCAAGTGTAATTAGCCTACTGCATTCACGCGCTACTTGGATGCTCTCATTTCCCGAGTTGAGTTCACGTGCATTTTCTCAGTCTGGAAATTATTTTTCACGTGCGGTACGTGCCAGTGATGATGCTTCTTACGTCCGCTTCGGAGAACCGGAGGAAATATTTCAATCGATCGCTCAGGCATGGCACCGAAATGAGGCACCGAAATCTGCGTTCTGATTTGGTTCTAGTACATACCGGTTACATAGGTACCGGTGCCATATTGGTACCGGGTTTGGTACCCAACCCTAGTAATGCGTATCTTTCAGTGAAGCACGGTTCTGTGATCAGCAGTAAATCTCCATCCAAAGGCCAGAGGGCGCTCTCGCGCTGAAACTCCAAATACGCCACATTTTGTTTGGACGAACATTTCTTGATCCTACGCCTTCCACAGAATATATAAATACATATAAATACATTTAGACCACTTAAGTTAATGATTGCTATCGGGATGTGAAGAGACTTTCAACCAGCATAACAAAAAATGTTTCTGAAGACAATCACCTATTGCACCTTCAAAGGGGCATACCATATATTTTTTTATGTTATTAAGGATGCACAATATATTGGTACCATATTAATTTTCGTTATAGATTTAATTTTTATTTATTGGTATCATAGATTATCAGATATTGCTCATACTCATTTCCTCTATTTTTCATTTAGTTTACCTTAGTTTTACATTTAGTATGATGTCATCCAAAAATTAAATTTACTCTTGAAAAACACTAAAAAAAAACTGTTAAATGTAATCCTCAGCAAATCTCAAAATGAATATCCATTTTTCATACTGTACATTATAATGTTGTGATGCCTAAATTCACTTGCATCAATTCAACTGATTTTATTTTTTGGTTATTTATTTTGAATTTATTTAGATGGTAAAAAATGTAATATCTGCCAACTAAATATTACTATATAGGTTTATTTAATTCTTATAGCAGTTATTTTCAGTTAGTCATTTTAGTGCTTCCACTTAAACTTCAGTTAGTTGCCAAGGCAACATTTGTTTGTTTGTTTGTTTACATGTTTGTTTAAAGGGATAGTTCACCCAAAAATGAAAACTCTTATTATCATTTATTTATTTCTTCTGCAGAACACAAAAGCAGATATTTTGATGAATGTAGGGACCAAACAGTTGCTGGTAGCCATTGACTTCCATAGTATGTTTTTTCCTTACTATGGAAGCTATTGGGGACCAACAACTGTTTGCTTCGCAACATTCTTCAAAATATCTTCTTTTACGTTAAACAGAAAGGTTTGGAACAAATGGGTTGAATAAATGATGACAGATTTTTCATTTTTTTGGAGAACTATCTATACGTTTTTCATCTAATATCTATATTTTATTTCAGCTTTATTTTAATGAACAGAAATGTTTAGTTTTAGTTTTATTTAATAATAATACCAATAATTTTTACCCCAGAATGATTGTTGCTTATATTAATTCCATCCATAATTTTTTCTTTTTTATAATAATAAAAAAAAAAAAAAACTAAAGATGTCCCAATATTAAGATTTTTACTGATTAACAAGTTATTTTAATTTCAATAAATAGTTTTGGACAGAAGGATGTTTTGAGTTGTGAAAGACCGAGTGTGTTTTCATAAACCGCTTGCACTTGTTGGTCTCCAGTCACATCTGATCACCCGCTGCGTCTCAGACCCATTTAAAATTGAAGTCGCCATGGTAACCTCCGGTACAAGGTCCCGTCAAAAGACCTATGGTCCGATAAGCACATATTCTCAAAATAATATCAGACACATATGGGGTCTTTCTCTGATGGGTGAACACTGTTAGACCGTGACATGTAACATAATTCAATGTAATGTAATGGAGAATGACAGAGAGAGAGAGTAAAGCTAGAGAGAATGGCCAGCCACACTGGACCAAGTGGGCATCATCTCTGGTGAGAGGTGCCATAAACAAGCCTCTCTAAAATCAATGTGAGGGTCAAAGACCAATGAGCAGAAGCCTTGAAGTCTTTATGAAAAACTAGTTGCTGCAAAGGCATCCCCTCCATCCAGCTGCCATCCACATCACCACCTGTTGCCACGTAATGAAAATAAATAAATAGTTCAATAATTTCTTTACTAATTTAGCTTTCATACTACATGAAACATCATACTACTAGACATTGTAACACAAGCACACATGTTCAGGGCCCTGCGGCACCCTAAATAACCATAAACCCAGCGTGGGATGAGGCCACAGCTCTCACCTCTGCACCTAGAGATTTGCACCAGGACGAATAATGTTGTAAAAGGTCTGTGGGCAGCTGTTCCCCTAAAGTTTGGGGAATTGAGTTACTGACACTGTGCTGAACATTTGTACAGTGACAGCGGGGTGTTAATGCACCGCACACCTAAAGCTAGTTGAACGCAATGCTTTGATGGTATATTACACATGGAGGAGATTGGCAGGAATGTCAAACGTCCTGCAGATCTGCAAAGTGAGATGTTCTTCAGTCTTCAAGTGGAAAATTGAATTGTGCTCCACGGAAGACAGAAAGTCATACGGGTTTGGAATGGCATAAGGGTGAGGAAAAGATGACAGGAACTATTTTAATGAATCACCAGATATTTAACAGCACATAAACAGAAAACATCACATGAGCAACACTTTCGGAGACTTTTTGTCTTCCCCAGGCAAAGTAGGCCAAGTTTCAAATACCCCTTTCCTCATGACCAGTCCAAACTAATCAAGACAGGCATGTGGGCCTATGGGATGCTTTGGCCTACTCTTCCACTTCAGCAATATTTTGGCCTGAAGGACTGGGGTGCTTCAGAGAGCAGCCTCCGTACTCATGTTTCAAAGACTCCGGGCTGAACTCACAGTTATTGGACCACTATGAAAGTAATGAACGGTAAAGACACCAAACCCAAAACCAAGATAATAAGACACTAAAATCAAATAAAAACTTAAAAGATTGCATTTGATAACCACAAATATCTGTCAGAAACCAATCCAAAAAAATCCCTTTACAAAGATGATTAATTCTAAGGCTAACTAGATTTGTTGGGCAGCTGCAAAAACAGGTAAGAAAGCAGTCAATCAGGAAAAAAGCTGTCATAGGAGCAGTACCCTTTTAAAAGGTACTGATATGTACACTTTAGGTAATAATACATATCTTTAAGGTACTAATATGCAGGGGTGTCCAATCCTGCTCCTGGAGGGCCAACTTTTGCTCTAGACCAAAATAAACACCTGAACCAGCAAAGCAAGGTCTTCAGGATCACTAGAAACTTCCAGGCAGGTGTGTTGGAGCTCAACTCTGCAGGAAAGTGGCCATCTAGGAGCTGGATTGGACACCCCTGCTTTAGGGCTAAATAAGGTACAAAGGTGTACCCTTGGAAAGGGTAACGCCTGGTGACAGATTTTGTACCATTTTTTTCCTGAGAGTGTAAATAAACTACTTAAGTTCCACTTCTTCCAAGAACAATCCAACGATAACGTTGTTAGCTTTTGCATTCAGACACTGAAGTTGGTCTTACCCGTCATTTGTTTTTCATCTGTTTGCTGCTCTTCACTCTGCCTCTCGCTGACAGGCTGATGAGGTTCTGCGTCTTGAACTTTGGCAGGCTCAGAATCGTTGTTTGTTGGAACTGGCTGTGCGTTTTCTTCAACATCCACATGTGATTGAATCTCCGCCTGCATTCCTTCTGCATCCGTGCGCACAGGATCTGATTCAGAGCCGGCATTTCTACAGATGGAACATATGTGATCATCTTTGGACTGTGGATGTGCGTGACCTTCACCTGGTCGTTCACACTCTGGGTGGAACCACCTAAAGAAAAAGAGGCAGCTGATGATTCACCCTTTCACTGCATCCAAAATTAGGTTCCAGACAGACTTTTTGGACATGTAACTGCTACTGAACTAGATTACAGATTTGTGAAGGAAATATACCTTTTGCATTGATGGCAAGAAAGCAGGTCTTTGTGGACGTCTGGATCTACATCGCTGGGACATAAGCAGGGGACGGTGGTGTCCAGTTGATCGCCACAGTTTTGGCACAAAAGGCTGTTGTGGTGCCATTGTTCACTGCTCCGGGTGCCACACTGAACACACATCCGGCAGATCTACAAACACACAGCTACGATTAGCTATACTGCATTAAAGAAATGGGAGATAATTTCGAGATAATAACGTCTCAAAGCCACCCTTACCTTACACCTCCAGCCGTTGATGGGGATAGAGTCCATAGCCGGCTGCAAGCAGAAAGTGTGATAGCCTTTGTCGCACATATCGCACACTAGCATTTTAGTATCTTCTCCAGGCTCCCTGAAAGATACAAGGACACAATCAATCTAACTAATTCTACCATATGGGATCAATTTTCCACCAAAAGTATTGCAGTCACGGATCAAAAAATAATAAGAGTGAAACCAAAATTTAAAAAAGCAAGTAAAAAAATATTGCACAAAATGTAAAAATGAAGCAAAGTTTTCAGAAAAGCAAACAATGGTCACGGATCGAAAAATAATAAGCGTAAATCAAAAATGTAATAACACGTTTAAAAAAATAATAAGCACGAATCAACACTTTAAACATATTTAAAGTCATATTGCACAAAACTGAAATATTAACACAAATTATCCGACTTGCACATAAAAACATGTTTTCCTTGGTTATATGTTTCTGTTTTTTGTGCTCTCAGACATTTTCTGCTCATATTTTTGAATGCGTATGCTGTTTTTTTTTTGTATGCTAATGTTTAAAGTTTTGATTCATGCTTATTATTTTTTTAAATGTGTTTTTAAATTTTTGATTTATTATTTTTCGATCTGTGACCATTGTTTACTATTCTGAAAACTTTGCTTTAATTTTCAAATTTTGCGCAATATATTTTTACTTGCTTACTTAAATTTTGGTTTCATGCTTATTATTCCATGACCACAATACTTTAGGTGGAAAATTGATCCCGTACTACCAGTGCATAATTTTTTTTTTTTTCATGAATACATTCCAACACAGTAAAAAACGTTTGGAATTTTAATGGACAAAAATATGTTGTAGTTAAAAACCTGTTCATTGGTTAACAGTAAGTTCCCTTACTATATATGGTGGAAAACTAGCCAATCTAATAGGACATTTCATGTAATTTTTGTTTAATTCTCTTAAATTATTCTGATTTATAGTTATTCTGATTCTCATTCCCAGAATTCCCTGTGTGACACTTTACATTTGATGGTTTTTCATTGAAGTAAAGGTTTCTAAGTGTTTTATTTCTTATCAGTTATGTACATTATGGTTTATGTTACACCGTATGTCATTAAATTCATGTTTATTGCATTATTTTAGTGTTATATGTGTTACCATGGTGGTGTTTAGGATTTGTGTGTATGACACTGTGTGTATCTGTTATATATCTGTATTTACCTCAGTTTTTGAAAAAGCTACATGTGATGAGCTTTGATTCATCATGTGGCTCTCAGTACCATGTGTGTTTGTGATGGTTGATGGTGTGTATTATAAAGGTACAAAAGAGAATTTAGTACTTCAACAGGTTGGTTTATTAACATTATATCAGTGAATGAAATATAGGTTTTTACTGTAAATTTGAGTTAATTCCATAAAACCTTAAATGTTGCTACTGTATACAGTAAAGTTCCAGAAACCACAGATGCAGTTTTTTAACACTGTATGTTACCCCATAGATTTTTATACAACATATAACTGAATGTGTCTAATTAGTGACTATCCATTAAGCCCACATGAGACACGAGCAGGTGTCTGTTTATTCCACTGAGGCCCTGTCCACACAAACGCGGTTATTTTTAAAACCGCAGCTTTTTCTACGCGGTTAGGCCGTTTGTCCACACGCAAACACAGCACCAGTTCACTGAAACCGAACATTTTTGAAAACGCCTCCCAGGGTGAAGATTTTCAAAAACTCTGGTTGCAGTGTTATCGTGTAGACAGCAAAACCGGAGGTTTTGGCTTGTGACGTCGGAGCCACTGTTGCCAACTAATTTTCAGGGGAAGTTGCTAAAGGAAGGTCGATTTGTTGCTAAACGTTGCTAAATGACGTGATGTCATTGCGTGATGACGTCATTACGTAAACACGATGCAAAATTGTGTCACTACATCAAATCTCAATAAAAAATATATTTTTATGTTAATTTAGATTTGTTCCTAAAATAATATAAATGCATAATATAATGTTAAAATATAAATAACTTTTTATATACAACATTGAATTATTGAACATTTACACATTTTTGAATGATTACAAGTTTTTTTTATTAGCTTGTAAACTAGTAAAACTACACATTCTGAACAATTATAATTTTAAGCAGTGTATTAGTAGTCAGTGTGCTACACTCTAAGAAAAGAATTCACAGGTTTTTACCTGCATTTTAAATTACGCATTGTATTGTGTGTTTCGGGTTAAAGGGTTACAATGGATAATGGATAACGGATAATGTCCTGGAAAATTACTAG